TTCAAATAATAGACCAAACATATAGAATTTTAAGTTGATAGAGTGAACAGTGAAAATAATTGTTTATTTTTTTTAATTTTAATTCTTATTTATCTTTAAATTTAGCCATGAAGTTGTTTACGTTCATTTAAAATAATTTATACAATTTCGGCTGACTTTGAAAAAAACTATATATATATATATATATATATATATATATATATATATATATATATATATATATATATATATATATATATAATTCTCTTCTTGGATACCCTAAAAACGCCTAGCAGCCCCCTCGCTTCCTATCTAGGCATATATCTACCACCCTCAAAAAAAAAAAAAAAAAAAACCCTACCATCCTCACCTCCACATGGTCTGGTGAGCTGTGGTTCACGCTAATTGTTTACAATCGTAGAGCCGGGCTTAGTGACGGCTATTAGGGGCAGATAATTTAGCTAGAAACGATCTTTAACTTAGGGGAGGTAACTAAGAGGAGGCTGTTTTCACGGGGGGGGGGGGGGTAAGGTAGGGGTTGGGGGAAAGGAGGATGGTTGTAGTATCGTCCTCAACGAGCTACTGATAGTGTTTTAAAGCAAATATTTACAGTGGCAGCACTGGTACTGTCGAATTCACAAATTATGAATTACTGAAAAGTAGAAAATAAAACAACTAAATAGCTAGCGGCGTATGATACGCCGCGGGTCGGCTCGTATGCTTTATTAGTCCAAATGGCTCCTCAGCATAAAACAAAACGTTATAGTATTGTCTTCTGTAGGAGGAACTGTGCAGTACCTTTTGTATTAGATCTATATATAAGTAAACCATCTTAGATAAATGAAAGTAGGCTACAAGTAAGAAAGAAATATTACTATAATTAATAAATTGAAGGGCTCAGTGGAAAAAGTACTCAAGTTACATTTTTTTCAAAAATGAGTTAAGACCGGTATATTATGTGAATACCTGCCCTTAACCATCCCTGTAAATTTGGGCCATGGAAAAAGTACCGAAGTAGCTTAATTCGAATACTATACATCAGCTGTTTTGGTATTTTAGCATCAATTTAAAAACTTTGCACTCATTTTTCTCAAAACTCTCAAAATACACTTAAGCACTTTTTCCACTGAGCCCTTCTATTGTAAATCTGTATCTTTTCACGTTTTCTCAATTTTTATGTATAGTATAAAAAGTATCAACATTGCATTTATTAAACCCTTTTAAACAATAGCCACGATATATCAATATAACAGTATGAAGTCTTATAAATATATTAAATAAACAAACTTTTAAAAACAATAAATTAACCTATTTATTAAAAAATAGGTTTCGTCTCTTTAATTTACAAATAAAAACAAACAAACAAAGTTAGACAAGAAAAACAAATGCATGACAAATGTTTTTGTTGCGCATTTTAGAATATACTAGATGACCCAGTTTCCATTTCGGAAACGGTCTGCCGCTTGAACTACACATTAAAAACCAACTGCCCATTATACCAATACCAGTATTTATAATTTTTTAAACCCCAAATGAATCACTGTTCTTATACCCAAACTCTCGTCCAGTTCCTTTGTAACATTCATTATGACATCATTGCTGGGTTGGACAGGCGAGAGGGTCATAATAGTAAAGTCGAGTTTTGTGGACACTTGATACACAAAACAACTACCAAAATGTTTATTTATATATTAATGAACAAAGTACCAAATTACTTTATTAAATACAAAAACACATTCATTGCCTTAAATAATTCCGTTAAAAACCCAGTTAATTTTTGGTACTTAAAAAAAATGTTTTCTTGTTTTATTTCCTGCAGACACAAAAAATGACTTTTAAAAAAAATAGCGCCTTCATCAGTAAATAATAAAATGAATACCAAAATTACTCGCTTTAGGCTCGAATTAGAAGATCTGTCAAATGTATTCTAACGAAAAGTGTTAATATTAGTGAAACTTACATCTAATTATTATAGGAATAACAAATTAATGTATAATTTAAAATATTAGAAATTATTTACATTATATCAGATATTTTTAAAATTCCGACTGTATGGGTTTCGTATTTCCTCACTCAATTTTCTTAAACAAATTACAATAATTCGACTAAAAGCTTTTTTAAACATTTATTCAGTATAAATTGGAGAAAGCAAAAATAAAATTATCTATAATTTTGCCTCATAACTCATCGTAAAGTGTTTTTGCTATATGTGGATAATGTTCCTTTAGGGAGTTTATAAATTCAGGAAACGCTCGTCCTGGTCCAGCATTAAGTATTTTATCCAGTAGAGCTCGGGTCCTCCCACTACGTGTTTGTACGGCTGTAACTTCTTGTTTGTCATCGAAAGTTATTATACCCTTGGTGAATAGATGATCAGTTAAAAATTGTCCATCAATTTCTTCAACTAAATATTTGTAATAGCTTCTTAGTATGTTATAGTGCTTCTCTTGTAGTTTACCATTAATAGGTCTTTGTTGGTCTGCAAAGTAAAACAATGTGTTAAAATAACGATAACCACAATTTTACGATTTGAACAAAGCCCCTTAACCTGATGGTGTTGTTACTGTTAATTTTAGAATGATACTTGTCTCATGACTCACAAACAATATCTATTCAATCATTAATGAATAGGTACATAATTATAATGAATTATTGAGTTAAAACGTCCATTCAGCACATGTATGCTTGGAGCAAAGTCGGCTGGACATAGCACTGACTACACTATCACTTGATTAATCCTGGCAGTAGAAGAACTATATTTATTCTTTGCAGAGGAACCTTTTCTAACCATGAACTTCTAAAACTCATTATAATGTTACAGGTCAATAAATTATGAAACACTTAAATACCTTTCAATGTAGCTTCTGGATATATTGACGGCAAAGTGTCTATCTTTTCATCTTTAACCTTTTCCTATGTTGCCGAAACGTGAAAAAAAGTTTTAAAGATTATGTACAAAATGAACTTTAAAATGGAATAATAAGCCAATAGCACATATCTCACTTAATATCTGAAATACTTATCAAAATGTAAAAGAATAAACGCAGCTTTAAATAGAATTCGTTCTATATATAAAGCAATGTATGTTTGTGTCTGTTTGTTTGTTTGTCTTTTATGCATTACTACACCTCTTATCACATCGCCGTGAAACTTTGGGAAGTTGTTGAGAATATTCCTGGGGAGGTTTCTGCGAAAAAAAAATTCAAACTCGCAGGGGTGGCGCCCCGGCAGGGCGCGATTTGTTTTTTCTCTCCATGCGGTATATAAAAATAAAAATCGATTTTGGTTTGACAGCGTTCACCAGATAGCCATAAGACTTTGGGGTGTTCATTATAACACTCTAGGGAAGGGTTCTGTAAAAAAATAATTTTTAATTTTGCAAAGGCGGCGCCACGGGAGGGTGCGATTTTCCTCTATATATGGTATATAAAAATAATAAAAGTGAATTGCAGTGACACCGTTTATCCGATAGGCATGAAACTTTAGGAAGAAGTTGAATTTATTCCTGGAGAGGTTTCTGCGCTAAAAACATTTTCAAATTTGCAGCGGTGGCGCCCCGACAGGGCGCGATTTGTTTTTTCTCTATATACGATATAAAAAATAAAGTCGATTTTGGTTTGACACCATTCATCCGATCGCCATCAAACTTTGGTGAGTTCATTAGAATACTTTGGGGAAGGGTTCTGTAAAAATCATTTTTAATTTCACAAGGGCGGCGCCACGGTATGGTGGGATTTTTCTCAATATACGGTATATAAAAATAAAAGACTATTGTGGTTCGACTCAATGTATCCCGGTGCCATAAAACTTTAGGGAGTTGATGAATACTCCCGAGAAGGTTTCTGGGGTCGGAGGGGGAATAGGGGTATATGTGGGTGGTGGGGGCGGGGATTTAATTTTGCATTGGTGCCCCCCCCCCCCCCCCCCTCCGGCATGATGCGATTTGGCGCCCTGGTCTTTCCCGTGAGCGCTATGGCGAATACGTTCGGTCTAAACAGTGTGATAGACAATGGATAGGATGGGGCGTTACAAACGCTTACTAAATTGAATCAGGCGTGTCCTCTGGCGCCCTGGTAGGGTGCGATTAGGCTGCAAATAAAAATGTCTGTTTTGGCCCCAAAGACTCACATGGGCCGCTGAGGGCCATGTAATACGTTTTATTTTAATAATCAGAAAAATTAACCAAGGTTAGATTATTAACTGGGATGTTTCTTTTTGTCCGTAAAAAATCCAAACAGTTTCGTCACTTTGCGAATAATGCAATTAAGCATCTATTTTTAGATAATCTAAACAGAAATTGAGATCGAGCATCTATGAATAAACCATTACTAACGCTAACATATTGCATCAGTCACACTGATGTTTAAAACGCGTCAAATATATTTTTTACGTGTTAAATAACAAAGCCTGTTTATTTGTGTCACTTTAGTGAATGACGCAATCTGCATCATTGTTAACAGGATGCTATTTTAAGGAGCCAGGGGTCGTACGCCACGCCTATGCGGTAGTGTAATCGGGGGGGGGGGGGGGCTCCTGAGAGCGGGCCTCTACGTCTCTGACACATGGGCGTTTCACCGAAGTGTGTTCTACCATATTACTTCGGTGAGTGATTAATGTATACTCAAGGTTTTCATGCGGTAGTGTAGGTAAACCCGTGTCCTGATATTTATGATCCAAACGCAGGCATTGTTTACATTTAAACAACTGATTTTTAGAAAAGAAGGTCACGCGTCTAAGAACATATGATTGGTAAAGAGTTGGTGAAATCCTTCTAATATATTTCGTCAAACTTTCTTCTATCCCTGCGGCAACGCGCGGGGATCGGGTACGCTAGTAAATATATATATATATATATATATATATATATATATATATATATATATATATATATATATATATATATATATATATATATTGTTTAATACTAAAAATTAACACTAGTTTGTTAGATTTTTCGCAAAAGACACTAAGAAATAATATCTTTGGATGAAGGTAAACGTAGACTATAACTATTTTAATCTCTATAGTCTACTTACCAAAGACTTAACACGACCCGCGTATTGTTTAGTTTCAACAATGACATTTGTGTTGAGCAAGGAGCTCAAAAACTCAACAATATCTTTGTAGCCATATTTTGACGCTATAGCTAATGCATTGTTTCCATCTTTATTCACAGCTAGAACATTGCAATCAGATTCCACCAAGAGCTTAACTGTTTGCTGAGCTCCACTTTTGGCAGCGTACATCAACGCACTCCACCCATTTTCGTCAATAATGTTAACATCAGCTCCAGATTTGATCAAAAGCTTGGAGACTTTGTCTTGGTGAATTATAAGTTTAGCTTGAGAACTGATATCAAACCGACTTTTCATTAAAAAATGTATAGTCTTATCTTGACACTCTTCTAAAGCGTACATTAATGCATTCTTTCCAAATGCATCTACAGCTTTAACATCACTCCCCTTTTTAATTAACAACTCTACTGTTTTATCATTTCCATTTACAGAAGCGTACATTAATGCATTCTTGCCATATTTATCTACAGCTTTAACATCACTACCCCTATTAATTAACAAATCTACTGTTTTATCATTTCCATTCTCAGAAGCGTACATTAATGCATTCTTTCCATATTTATCTACAGCTTTAACATCACTACCCCTATTAATTAACAAATCTACTGTTTTATAATTTCCTCTCTCTGAAGCGTACATTAATGCATTAATTCCATTTTCATCTACAGCGTTAACATCACTACCCCTATTAATTAACAAATCTATAGTTTTATCGTTTCCCCATTTGATAGCCCAAATCAAAGCATTATTTCCAATTTTATCTACAGCTTCAACATCACTCCCCTTTTTAATTAACAAATCTACTATTTTAATATTTCCATTCTGAGAAGCGTACATTAATGCATTCATTCCATATTTATCTACAGCTTTAACATCACTACCCCTATTAATTAACAAATCTACTATTCTATCATTTGCACTCTCAGAAGCGTACATTAATGCATTCTTTCCAAATGTATCTACAGCTTTAACATCACTCCCCCCATTGATTAACAAATCTACAGTTTTATCTTGTCCTCTACCTAAAGCGTACATTAATGCATTCTTTCCATATTTATCTACAGCTTTAACATCACTCCCCCTTTTAATTAACAAATCTACTGTTTTATCATTTCCACTCTCAGATGCGTACATTAATGCATTCTTTCCATTTTTATCTACAGCTTTAATATCACTACCCCTAATAATTAACAAATCTACAGTTGTATCGTTTCCCCTTGATGAGGCAAACATTAATGCATTTATTCCATTATCATTTACTGCTTTAACGCTAATCCCTCTAGCGATTAAAATGTCTACAGTTTTATTGTCTCCGCAGCGAGAAGCATTAAGTAATACATCTACATCTTTACCATTTAAATCAGTCATGATATAATATTTTTGGTTTATTAAAGTGTACACTCAAAAGATTCAATTTATTCTGTTTTAAAAATGTATTAACAGTATTAACAGCTTTTTCATTAGTAACCTTTCAAAAAGTTATTTCTATTTATTTGTGCTTATGGCGCCTACTTAGTGAAATTGTCATTTTCTTTATGAATAGAAATAGTCTGCTATTGTTCTCCTCATTGTATAAATAAAAACAGCATAGTTCAGCAAACAGTGTCTAATTTTTACTTAGCTAAAATTTTCATCATCGAAAATTTAACTTTAAGTGCTTCGTTGAACCGACTATTTAGGTATTTGCAACTGTCAGCTTGTACGAACTTCATTATAGTTTCCCAATGCTTTTTTATGCTTTTTTCAAGCACAATTATAAAACACTATTATTTCTTTTAATTCTGACTTCATCGTATTATCCACAGTTGATTCGTTGTCTGGTGTCGTCACTTGTTTATCTGGATTTACAAAATATATTAATAATATGTAATAACTTTTTAAACAATATGTAGTTGGTGTTTCTAATCTAAACATTTGTGCTTGTCAAAACATAAAACCGTTCTCATATCACATATTTAAGGTAATTTTGTTTTAATAAATTTAGACATGTGTATATCTCTCAATTCACTCATCCTGCAACAGAATTTTAAACAATGATTCCTCTCTCATTGAAATGATTGAGAATACTTAAGCGGTAATCATTAGGCCTGCATCATCATCCAATACCATTTCAGGATAGATAACTTTTTCACAAGGCAGCCGATTTCTGGTTTGAAAGCATAAGATCGTAAAGAGAATAAAGTAGAATTTTAAAAACAATGAATTACTAACGTCCCTTTGTTTATCTTTATTAACCGCAATTTATAGTCTGTTGTATTTTGTATGAAAACGTCAATAACCATGCACTTCTGTAGAATAGTTACCGTTGGGAGACAAGTGACTTACAAATTAGGGGAAATATAAAAGTAGGTAAAGGTTAGAAGAGACAATAAATTATCATTATTTTATACTTGATTGTCGTTCATGCATCCTATCATCCTAAACATCATCATTCCTGTGCACCTTCTGTGGAGCATAAAAACACTACCCCAGCTCCCCATCATTCTCCCTTTTGGTCGATTCTTTCAAGTTTAGTCCACGACATTCCGCCCTCTTCTGCTTCACAGACTACTGTTCTTTTCCAGGCCTATTATGACCTACCTAGTTTAATCTTTCGTTTGAGATTCCAATCTAGTGCCTGTCTGATGATGTTGCTAGTTGGTTTACGCAAGGTGTGGCTAATCCATCCCCATTTGCGCTAAATAATCATATAGTAGTCTTTAAGTTTAGTCATCGTTTGAGTCGTCCTGTTTAGTTAAATTATCGTCAAGTTCATGTACTTCAGTGTAATAAAGAACGAGGAAACATCTACGGGTTTTTAATGTTACTCGATTGAAGATACGTTATCTTGTGTAGTCGAACCTGTTTCTCAACCTTCACTATGTAGCAATATTAATGCCACACATATTGCTACATAGTGAAGGTTGAGAAACAGGTTCATAACAATAATATACTCTAAAAGATAAAAATTCAAAGACAAAACCAATTCGAAATAATACGAAAAATATTTAAAACAATGTTTTATCAAGTCGATTATTAATAAATATTGAGCTGTCCTTACACTATAGAAACAGTGGGGTTAATAAAACTGCGGACGATATTTTCAATGACGAAAACAACATCGGACTAAATAAATGTGTTCTAGACAAAATAAACAGAAATCAGAATGTTTAAAATACATTCGAAAATTTCAGCCTGCGGCTGCCAATTGTAATGAACATTGTATTTTTTTTTAAACAATAAAAAATTAAAATGTTCACTCACCAAATGTAGATAGCACATTAGTTATTCTCATCACACAGCAAGTACTATTGTAAAATTTTTTATTTAAAATGTAATTCAATTAGTTAATTTTTATTTTTACTTATGTTGATTTGAAGGTACAACATAAATCCACCTTGAAATAACTTTCAATACAGCGCAAGCTTATCTCAATGTTTCTTTACTTTGAGCTTAGTGCTAATCTAAGTAATCGATTGGATTCTATTCAAGAATCCAGGAAGTTTCAACAGAGCCTAAAAATAACTTTAAAAAATTATAGTTAAAGCTTAAAGCTTAAGATAAAAAACAAAGATCTTTCCTTCCGCTCCTCTAGCGCGCGGCATATAATACCTGACCATGTATTACAACATTGCTACAAGCACTAATAATGTAATTTTTTTTTCACACATCCTTACTTTATCATATACGGAACAGAAGGAATGTATTGTAATCGTGCGAAAATTCTAAAAAGAGACAAATTTGACGTTTTATGTCACTCCCGAACGGAAAAATTAACTTTTGAATTTTTTGTAGTTCTTTATTTCCAGTAACGAAAGTGCTACATACTCTGCTTCCGGTTTCTTAAAAGCGAATAACTAAAGTACCGTTTCAGTTAGATTGATCTAAATTGTATGCACAGTATTCTTTCAACTTTTAAACGATTTCCGTTAACGGAATGTGGCTCTTATTTTCTGCGTGAACACTTTAACGTGAGTACTTTTTCAGTTAGGTAAAAAGTATATGATTTTTTATTTTAATAATTTGTAACTCTTGGGATTCCAGATAACCGGAAGTGGTATTTTACTCTATTTCCAGTTTCTAACTTAAGTACCGTTTCATTTAGGTGAACGAAAATTATACATAGATATAAGATTTTATTATCTTGAATCTTTCAAATTTTGAATGATTTTCTGAAACTGGAAATAATATTTTACGTTACTTTCAATTTCACAAAAAAAAAAAAAAAAAAAATTTTACTGCTTCAAACTTTTCATGTATGGAAAGACTAAATAATAATGAACTGTCACATAAAATGTGATTTAATATTTAATCAATTTTTAAAAATAAAGTACTAATTTTCCGCGCTATTATACCCATAGTGTTTGTCTTTCATTTTGCTGGCAATTCTTTTCACTTTATCTTTTACGAAATTTAGGAATTATTGTAATCGTGCAAAATATAGAAATTGAGATATTTAGAAAAAAATCTTGACGTTTACACCTCCTTGATTTGGAAAAACTTAATTTTGCAATTTTGTCCGTATGTCTGTGTGTGTGTTTGTGTAAATGTGTGGGTTAGTGTGTCTGTCAGTGAACATGATAACATGAGTACCGTTAGATATAATTATTATTTCAAATTGGTAGTTCTGTATCGAATTTTCGGCAATTTCCGGTAGCCGGAAGTGGAATTTATTCTACTTTCGGTCTTTCAAAAGCCTACTTGATAAATGTTTGTGGTGAAATTTGACGTATAAGTAAAAAGATAAGTTACTGTTTTCTGTCAAATTTTAAGTAACTTCCGTTTACCGGAATCAGTACTTTACTCTAATTCCGATTTCTTAATTCTTTTTCTCTTAGATTCTATTCTTTATAAAAAAGTTAAAGTATTTAAAAGTGATTAAAAATTATGTCTATATCCCGAGTTGCCATAGTGATGTATGAGAATATACGAGAGTTTAGGGGAGATCACTCTCGCTTTGTTTACAATGTCAAAATATGGTGATTAACACTTGCTCAATCTCGTGATTTCTATCCTTCAATTTTTCCTTTATCCAAGTAAAACAATTTTAAAAACGAATAATAAAATGTGAGTACTGCAGTGTTGGCCCACGCCTCATTTGTCATTACAAGCTTTTATTTAACTTACTTCCTCTGTCTGTCTGTCGTCAGTCTAGATCGAAACGCCGGAGTGAAAATTCGGACACGTCTACCTGACAGATACGGTTCGTAATTGGTACGTGGGTCAAGACATGAAGACATGCATTATGACATTAAATTTGACTTAATTGGATGCCTAATAAATTTTTTATGAATTAATTAAAATTTGGACCGAATTAGTTGGCAGTTCTATCTACACGCGTCAAGACGGCCGGGTTGGGCGTGGAGCGAGTGGGGCTCTACCTCAAAAGCACGTCAGCACGTTCAATAGACGGGCGATAGTTTTTAGTCGGGTTAGCAGTCTAGATCTTTACCACTAGACTACGCTATCCCATAATATTTTACTGAAACTTTAGCTATAAACTTCACAATGGTTTTTAGTCATGTAACTATTGTAAATAAAACATGTAAAGTACTGGAAAAAAATCCATAAAAAACGTTTTAATAACAAGCTTTTATGTAATATTGCACTAAAAAGTAGAAAATAAATTATACACTACTATTTAAATAACTATAAAGAAAAGCGTGGGTCTCTTCCTAAATATTAGACACTACTATTTAAATTACTGTAAAGAAAAGCGTGGGTCTCTTCCTAAGTATTAGTAAAGGTATCCAATAGATACCAAAGCGACCCACGCTTTTCTTTATAGTAATTTAAAAAGTAGTGTCTAAAATATAGGAAGAGACCCACGCTTTTCTTTATAGTTATTTAAATAGTAGTGTATAATTTATTTTCTACTTTTTAGTGCATTATTACATAAAAGCTTGTTATTAAAACGTTTTTTTATGATTTTTTTTATTTCTTGTATTCGCAAACACTACAATATCACATACAAACCTAATTCACAGTCACTATAACATCACTTACAAATGTATTTTACACTCACCATAGCATCACTTACAAATATATTTCAACGAATGTCTATGAAGCCAGGCTTTTATTTGTTATTATCGTTATAGGCCTACTATTGCTAGTTTAGCTTCAAGTTTTTTAACCTTTATACGATTGTGGTTCATGTTTACTATTCCATTCTGCGAGCTACGTTACAAATGAGGAGTTAATGTTACATGTAGGATCGTGTGGCTTACGTGTCTAACAGATAAGATAGGATTAACCGATCAACCTTCTGACAACATAAACAGACTTGAATACTGTGTCACCACGCTGGTAGGTAGGTGCACTAAAATAAATCGATACAGGACACCGCGTTATCTATTTCAGATACAAAACCCACCAGGGAGGAGATTGGGATTCAGGACATACAAATAAGTGCGTATAAAGATAGCGTCCTCTGACCACCCCCTCCCCCCACCCCAACACCCCCCTCCCCACACACACAAATTATACATGCCCAAAGCTCTAGATTTTTTAGGTAAAATTGAATGGGCATTTGTCCCATTTGGGCAAGTGTCCATTCGGGCATTTGTCACATTCGGGCAAGTGTTCATTCGGGAATTCGGCCTTCGGGTAAACGGCATTCGGGCAAGTGTCTTTCGGGAATTTGTCGTAGAGACATAGAAAATATATACTTTTACCTGTGTCAGCAGGTAAAAAGTCTGAAAGAAACACTGATGTGGGCTCTGCATGTTAAATGATTGGACAAATGTATAATATGATGGTTGAAAAATAATAGTGACATTAATACACATTTACATTAAAGAAGTAAAGGCACACAGTATCAGTCGACAATGTACATAGATAGCCAATGTAGAATCTAAACAAGGTATAAGTGAGAATTAAATTTATACCAAATAGCCAGTTGATCCTTGTACCAGACTGAAACCGTATACCTTGACGATTGTGGGTCATCGCAGAAGTGGGGCAAGGGATAATACTTATTTCAAATAAAATTAATAACAAAAGTGGTTTTCTATAAACAAGTATAGGTATGTAGCACATATCATGGTTACCAGCTAAGGGGGATAAATTGTAAGTTATAATTTATTTGATTGCGGCCCCTGTGGGATCGCAACTCTTGATGTACGTTTTTTTTTATTGTTCTTCGGTTTTTTTTACCCGTGTTCTATGTCATGTGACCTTTGGGACTATGGGTAGTTCGTGCCTGTGGCCCTGTTATTCAGACCCAAGGCTGCTGTGGACACGGACGGTGCCGTTGTCTATGATAGGTTGATCATGTAGAGTAGACCTAATGGCGGGCTACTGTTGTTTCTACTGTTTTCTACATTTTCTACTGTTCTACATAGCCGGTTGGCTTAGATGTTTATGTCAATAAATCCAGTATCTGACAACAACAGCGTCGTTTCGTTGTGTGTTATCTCTCAGATTCAGTCCTTTTAAACACAACACCTCATTGGTTAATAAACATCCCATTGAGGTAGTGTTACAGGTTCAATGAATGAAATATCAATTTGTAAATGGTTTAGTACACAAAAGTATTACAAATGGATTTGTTTAACGATTTCTCATAAATACTGGCCCAGTTTAGATGCTATATGTGGATAATGTTTCTTAAGAGAATTTATAAACTCTGGAAACGCCCGTCTTGGTCCTGCATGGAGAATTATATCCAGCAGAGCGCGGGTCCGATCGTTAGGTGTTTTAAAAGGATGTAACTAACAGTCTGTCCGGGTCCTATCGTTAGGTGTTTTAAAAGGATGTAACTGACAGTCTGTCCGGGTCCGGTCGTTAGGTGTTTGCAAGGATGTAACTGACAGTTTGTCCGGGTCCGGTCGTTAGGTGTTTGCAAGGATGTAACTGACAGTCTGTCCGGGTCCGGTCGTTAGGTGTTTGCAAGGATGTAACTGACAGTATGTCCGGGTCCGGTCGTTAGGTGTTTGTAAGGATGTAACTGACAGTTTGTCCTGGTCCGGTCGTTAGGTGTTTGTTAGGATGTAACTGACAGTCTGTCCGGGTCCGGTCGTTAGGTGTTTGTAAGGATGTAACTGACAGTTTGTCCGGGTCCGGTCGTTAGGTGTTTGTAAGAATGTAACTAACAGTCTGTCCGGGTCCTATCGTTAGGTGTTTGTAAGAATGTAACTAACAGTCTGTCCGGGTCCGGTCGTTAGGTGTTTGTAAGGATGTAACTGATAGTTTGTCCGGGTCCGGTCGTTAGGTGTTTGTAAGGATGTAACTGACAGTTTGTCCGGGTCCGGTCGTTAGGTGTTTGTAAGGATGTAACTAACAGTCTGTCCGTGTCCGGTCGTTAGGTGTTTGTAAGGATGTAACTGACAGTCTGTCCGGGTCCGGTCGTTAGGTGTTTGTAAGAATGTAACTAACAGTCTGTCCGGGTCCGGTCGTTAGGTGTTTGTAAGGATGTAACTAACAGTCTGTCCGGGTCCGATCGTTAGGTGTTTGTAAGGATGTAACTGACAGTTTGTCCGGGTCCGGTCGTTAGGTGTTTGTAAGGATGTAACTGACAGTCTGTCCGGGTCCGGTCGTTAGGTGTTTGTAAGGATGTAACTGACAGTTTGTCCGGGTCCGGTCGTTAGGTGTTTGTAAGGATGTAACTGACAGTTTGTCCGGGTCCGGTCGTTAGGTGTTTGTAAGAATGTAACTAACAGTCTGTCCGGGTCCTATCGTTAGGTGTTTGTAAGAATGTAACTAACAGTCTGTCCGGGTCCGGTCGTTAGGTGTTTGTAAGGATGTAACTAACAGTTTGTCTGGGTCCGGTCGTTAGGTGTTTGTAAGGATGTAACTGACAGTTTGTCCGGGTCCGGTCGTTAGGTGTTTGTAAGAATGTAACTAACAGTCTGTCCGGGTCCTATCGTTAGGTGTTTGTAAGGATGTAACTGACAGTCTGTCCGGGTCCGGTCGTTAGGTGTTTGTAAGAATGTAACTAACAGTCTGTCCGGGTCCTATCGTTAGGTGTTTGTAAGGATGTAACTGACAGTCTGTCCGGGTCCGGTCGTTAGGTGTTTGTAAGAATGTAACTAACAGTCTGTCCGGGTCCGGTCGTTAGGTGTTTGAAAGGATGTAACTAACAGTCTGACCGGGTCCGATCGTTAGGTGTTTGTAAGGATGTAACTGACAGTCTGTCCGGGTCCGGTCGTTAGGTGTTTGCAAGGATGTAACTGACAGTCTGTCCGGGTCCGGTCGTTAGGTGTTTGCAAGGATGTAACTGACAGTCTGTCCGGGTCCGATCGTTAGGTGTTTGTAAGGATGTAACTGACAGTCTGTCCGGGTCCTATCGTTAGGTGTTTGTAAGGATGTAACTGACAGTCTGTCCGGGTCCGATCGTTAGGTGTTTGTAAGGATGTAACTGACAGTCTGTCCGGGTCCGATCGTTAGGTGTTTGTAAGGATGTAACTGACAGTCTGTCCGGGTCCGATCGTTAGGTGTTTGTAAGGATGTAACTGACAGTCTGTCATCCCGACTGATATATTTTTAGAATACAGAACATCTGTTAAATAATTGGCGTCCATCTTTTCTATCAAGGAAGCGAACTCTCGTCGTAGTGCCAGCTGAAGAGGAGATCCTCCATAGAAAATGGAAATAAATTGGCCACACACTCTTAAAGCCTGTATCCAGCATAACTAGACAGGCCCTACCTGGAATGCACAGGGCAAAAATGAAAAGAGGTACTCTAATAAAGACACGGAGACCTGACCTAGAAGAAGACACCAAGAAGATTTGAATAGCCCAGGAGAGAGATGCATGGAAAGCTATTGTCAGCGGCCTATGTTCCAGGAAGACGACAGGCAAACCTAACCTAACCTAACCTAACCTGCCAAAATTATATAGGACTTACACATTTTTACAATTTTTGATTTGTGTAAAAATGCATCTTTCCTATATTCATGTACAGTTTAAATACCACTCGTACTTGTAATTAAAAATTATGGTTTTTAATTAATTAAAAAACTTGAACTGACTAATAATGTGTGTGATAAAACAATGATATTTTGGTGTCTTATTTGTTTTTAATCTAAAACTTATCGTAATATATTTGCTTTAAAATAGTTTTGGGAATGTCTTTTGAACTTGTGCTTGCTATTGTTTTGTTGTTATTTTCAGTGAGGAATTAATTTTTTGAATATTATTTGTACACCAAAGCTTAAAATTTAAAAATCTTTTTTAGTTAAGAGATAACATAGTTATAAAGATAACAATCAGAAACCAAATAAAATTCGTACATTATTCTGATCAAGTGGCGAGGTATTTAATATTGGAAACCCAACAGCCACGATTTAACAATATAACAGTAGGAAATATTGTAAATAAATTAAATAAACAACCTTTTTAAAACAATAAATTTACCTATTTATTAAAAATTAAGTTTCGTCTGTTGAATTACTTTAATTTACAAATATAAAAAAAGCATCGTTAGATAAGAAAAACAAGTTCATAACTAATGTGTTTTTTACGCAATTTAGAATATACTAGATGACCCAATTTCCGTTTCGGAAACGGTCAGCCGCCTGCACTACACATTAAAAACAACTTCCCATTATACCTATACTGCTATTTATAATATTTTAATTCAAAATGAATTCCCGTTCTTATACCAAAACTCGTCCAGTTTATTTGAAATATTTATTATGACATCAATGAGGGGTTGGAGAGGGGAGGATGTCCTAACAGTAAAGTCGAGTTTTGTGGACACTTGATACAACAACCAAAATATTTATTTATACATTAATAAACGAAGCACCTAATTATTTTATTTAATACGAAAAAAAACAAGATTCATTGCCTGAAATAATTATGTTAAAAACCCAGTTAGTTATTGATATATTATTTCTTGTTTCATCTCCTTTGTATTTTGCAGACACAAAAAATTACATTTTAAATTTTTTTTTTGCGTCTTTATCAGTAAATAATATAATGAATGCAAACTCGAACTGGAAGATGTGTCTAACGAAAAGTATTCACATTGGTGAAACTTAGATATAATTATAATGGGAATAGCAAATTAATGTATCATTTAAAACAGTTATAATATATCAGATATTAAAAAATGAATGTATTAATTTTCGGATTTCCTGACTCAACACTCTTAACCAAATTAGAATAATTTATTTATTCAAACTTATTCATTCAATTACGATAACAATAGTAGGCACGCAGTCTTTTTTTTACAATGGCATAGTAACGACATAGCAGTAAAATAGCACTAAAAATGTGGAATAAAGAAATAATATTACTTAGTTATAATACAAAATGAGAAAAAATAAGAATATAATAGATGAATGAGAAATGTTTCAATGAGTCAGTTAGAGAGGTCATTAAATAATTGTTGTTTTAGTTTAGTTTTGAATATATTTTTAGATCTAGATAGTTTTATTTTAATTTGACTGCATGAAAGGACTAAAAAAAACATTTTAATTACAGAACAGAACAATCTAAAACTGTTTTTATTCACTAAAGCTTGGAGAAAATAAAATTATCCACAACTTTGCCTCACAACTTATTGTAAAGCTCTTCTGCTATATGTGGATAATGTTCCTTTAGTGAGTTTATAAATTCAGGAAACGCTCGTCCTGGTCCAGCATTTAGTATTTTATCCAGTAGAGCTCGGGTCCTCCCACTGCGTGTTTGTATGGCCATTACTTCTTGTTTGTCATCGAAAGTTATTATCCCTTCGGTGAATAGATGATCCGTTAAAAATTTCCCATCAATTTCTTCAACTAAATATTTGTACTTTCTTCTTAGTATTTTAAAGTGCTTCTCTTGTAGTTTACCATGCATAGGTCCTTGCTGGTCTGCAAAGTAGAACAATGTATTAAAATAACGATAACCACAATTTTATGATTTGAACAGTCTCTTAACCCGATGGTATTTTTATTGTCAATTTTAGAATGATACTTATCTCATGACTCACAAACAACATCTTTTCAGTCATTATTGAATAGATACATAATTATAATGAATAATTTAGTTAAAACGTCCAATCAGCAAATGTAAGCTTGGAGCAAAGTCAGCTGGACATGGCACTAACCACACAATCACTTAATTAATCCTGGCAATAGAAGAGCTCTATCTCTTCATTTCTGTTCTCTTTTCTCCTTCCTCTTTTTCGTTCCTCATTTTAGTGTTGGAAGTTATCATCTCCCACACAATTAGAATATACGTGTCAACCGTTTGTGCGCAATCGAGTCCATTGACTCCGATTTTCAGCCTGCTTTTCTTTTTTGGATTTGCTTCTATAGCCTTTGTCCAACTAAGAACAATAATTATTTACAAGGCAACAATTGTTTGATTTTGGAGTTGTCTGTCGTAGAAGAGTGGCTGTCCCCAGCTAACGTGCCTCATCGAACTCTAGACGTTTCGGTTTAGCAACCATGAGCTTTACCGACGCGATTACGCCGACCCCTACTTCTGTTCTAACCATAAGCTTCTTAAACTCTCGTTATAATGTTACTGGTCAATAAACTATGAAACAGTTAAATACCTTTCAATGTACATTCTGGAATTGTTGACGGCGAAATGTTTATCTTTTCTGCTTTTACCTTTTCCTATATTGCCGAAACATGAAAAATTCGTTTTAAATATTAATAATTAACTTAAAAATGGAATAATAAGTCAATAGCCTAACTACACTTATACTTATTAAAATGTAAAATAATAAACGCGGCTTTAAATAGAATTCCTCCGTGTAAGATCCACATTAAAGCTGAAGGTCAGTCTAATGCGATAGGCGATGGTCCAACTCTTGAAACGTTTTACAAAGTGCTATATGAACGAAGAGACCTAAAACTACTGATAACCGAAGTCACAACTTTAGTTCTTTGAAATTTCATTCACGCCTTCTGTTTGCCGACTCTTAGTTAATTGATCTTGGGTATTTTACCAGAAAACTGCTAATTTTTACAAACGTTTGCAGTGTCTATTCATCTGTCTGTCTGTATGTCCGTATATTCTTCTGTCATTTTGTTAATCCTGTCTGTTCATCTGTTTGCCCTTATGTCTATACTGGCCATCGGTACCATTTGACGTGAATTTATACGCCTTTATATTTTTAATGTTATACATATATGGAAATAATAAATTATAAAATAGTTATTAATCAAAATGCAACACTACACGTTGAGATATTAGTGACAAAACAAAGAATTAACTAAATAGCTAAACATCCGGCTCATTTAAAATAACATAGACTACCAATACGTATTCGAAAAATTAAAACCAAATTATATACATTATTAGTCAATAGAACACCATATTAAATGCACACACTGATTAAGAGACTTAAATGATTCCGTTAAAAATCTAGATATTCAATGGTCATTATTTTTTTTTTAAAGTAATTTGTATTAGTTTGACCAATAAAATTGTATATATTTCTCAGAGTACGTCTTGATGAGTAGATCTATAGAACTATATCTAAATCAAATTTAAATGAAGTAGTTCCTTTCTTTATATTCTAAAATCAAGTACACTATCATCTCAGCTATTTAGGCACCTTATGCCGTATGAGACATGAAGAATAAAAGACGTAGATCTAGTTAAGAAACTTAACTTACTCGAATAGACCCATTCTTTCAAATTAATTTTTTATCCCAAATTAGCCAGTTCCATAGCTAAACAAAGATGTCTATAAAATAATTAAGGAGTGAAATAGTTTAATATATAAATTTATTAATCGAATAGATTCTAGGGTAGATAGAGTCTAAAGTCTAAATCTAGATTTTAAATCTAGATCTTAGCGTCTACGTCTAGCTGTTTTGCGTAGATCAAGCCTAGATCTATAATAATATTCTAGATCTAGCTATTATCTAGATCTAGATCTAGAATTCTAATAGATGAAGTGAATTTTATAAGTTTAGGCCGAGAAAATCGTATTGTATACATTTCATAGCGTACGTAGCTCTAAATCATATTTGAATGAAATAGTTCATTTCTTTATTTTATTCTAAACTCGGAAGATGACGTCATTAGTTTCGTGCTCTTTTTTAGTGTAAAAATTAAGTGACGTCATTGTTAAATGCGCTCTTGTCCCAACTATAAACCTTTTTCCGGTTGCATAAATAAAATTGTTTTTCTACATTCGAATACGCCTTTATTTTTTATTTTTCTTCTTAAAAATAAAATTGTGTTTATACATTTAAAACATCTACCATATTATTTTCAACAAAAGTCCCTATCAAGTTCTCCTATATCGCTGACAATTCTGATGTGATATCCTGCGAAAATATTTTGCGGACAGAGAGAGAGAGAGCGAAGTGCGCACATGGGCTTTTATATATTATGATTTTTGTTGCATTAGTCCTTCTGTTTGTCTTTCATTCTATCTATGTATATACTTCTGTCTTTTCTTGTTTAACCTGATTATCCTCTCTGTCACTATTTCTGTCTGTTTTTCTGTCTCTCTGTCCTCCGTCTGTGTGTCTGTCTATCTGTCTGTCTATCTGTCAGTCTATAACTCAATTTTTAAAAGCAGTATTTAAGTCGTACAGAATGTTACTAAAACCATATTTTGAGCCATCATTTCTTTAAAAAAAACAGGCAACTTTTTAAAAAAGAGTGCAACTAAATCTATCATTCAGTTCTTTAGAATTAGTTTTATGACCCACGCTACCCAGCAAATTACAAAAATAAAATATTTTCCCGCCAGGTATCCATTTCACAGCCCTATATACTATTTTTAATTTTAAAAATGTACTTGTATTCAGATTGTAAAGCAATGCAACTAAAAATATATATATCAATACTTGGATTAAATTTTTCTAGCGTTAAGAAACATTTCGCAGTAAAATATATTATACAGATACATACCTCTATCAGACATGTTAGTATAACTGCTAATATAGCTATATAAGGAGGATTTATTTTAGTTTGAATAGGTAAGCCGCAGGTTGGGCAAATGTGAACATGAAAACAGCAGTTCCCGCAGGAGAGGTGACAACAAGGTTCAAATTTTGTGTCCACATCCTCTTCGCAACACGTTTTGCATACTAACAGCTCTTTCAACCCAGTAGCCTTCTTTTCTTGTGTTGAGATCGAGGGGTCATCGGGTGTGGTTGTGCTGAGACTCAATAAGTTGTCCTCTAGTACCGCCTCGGTCAAAGCTTCTGCACTCGCAAATTGTGTGCCTTTATCTTCCAGCCTTTTCTGTAGAGTTTTCTTGACCAGGTCTTCGGGAATGTCAAGGTCGAGCACCTGTTTGACCATGTCGTCTTTCATCATGTCGTCGACTGTCGATGGCTGGGGTTTTACCTAAGGAGTGTCAAGAATAAAATCTATTTTGTGACACACGTAGAAATAGTAGATATGGTAGCTAATTGTAAGAATTTCAATTTACACTTTTTATTGAATTTAACAAATCTGGACTGATAAATGTTCAGAATTAAGTAAGCTTATCCATGTTTTTTTACAATAATCAACACGTTGGCAAACATGTGCTTATTTATTGGCTCTCATTTATAATACAGTTCTATTGATTCAATTTTTTTGACGAAACTCAATTTTTAAATTTACAAATTTGCAGTAATTGCGTTGGTGTTTAACTTCAATCAAAGTTTTCCAACAAATGAAGGTGTAAAACGTCCAGATTTGTTAAAATCTTGATTTTGATCTACGGTAACTTGAGTCCCATATTTATAGTGGTACCTTGAGATACGAGTTCAATTTGTTCCCTAACATTTCTCTCATGCCTAGTTGCTCATATATCAATACCTTTATTTTTTCATTGAAAGTAATTGAAATGATATGATTCCGTTCCAAAATGCCACCGAGTTGTGTTTTGTTTCGTGTTTTTCAAATAAGAAATGTCTTTTTTTACAGGACAATGTTATTTAAAAAAATAATATAGGATATTGCAAAGAAATAAACTTATATTATAAAGTGTATTTACTTAGAAAGCGTGCTAACTTGAGCTTACGGAAGATAATTTTGGAGGTGTAGGCTTAATGTAGTGTGGAGGAGTTGGGCCGAGGAACTTCACCTCGTTCACTGTTAACGCTATGCTATAGTGGTCACTTTAATTCACTTAATCGTTACACTCTTAACGCTACTCATTACCCTAATCGTATCGGAACTTAACGTCACCAAACATAATTGAACCTAAATTTTGCAAAATAATATTTTGTAAATTTTCGTTACTGCTTTTCTCTTCGCTGGTTTTTTCTTTTGCCGCGGTTTTCTTACTTTTCCAACCTTTCCACACAGGTCTTTAAAATAAACCTGTCCAAAAAGGTTTGTTTTTCTCCCTTTCAGAATGTTTTGATTTTGTTCAGTGTCACTAAATAACCCCGATGCACAATTGGATGCTACATTTTTGGGGTGTATCTTTTCCACGAACTTTTAAACACGCTTACAATTAACTCGTACCTCAAATTTTACTCATATGTCAATGCAAAATGTGCTCGCTTAACAAACTCGTATATAAAATCTCGTTTGTCGAGGTACCACTATATACATATATATATATATATATATATATATATATATATATATATATATATATATATATATATATATATATATATATATATATATATATATATATATATATATATATATATATATATATATATATATATATATATATATATATATATATATATATATATATATATATATATATATATATATATATATATATATATATATATATATATATATCATGATCCACCTTTCCATGGAACATGTAACAGATGAAGTAGAATTCATCTTTTTCAATGACCTCAGAATACGAGGGGACAGTGTGTTCAGCACAACTCCCAGTAGCCTGGTACTCATTAAAGGTGAATGAACTCAGGGATGTCCTACAGATTTGAGTCCGAGATCTTAACTCGACATTTTCGGGTTAGCAGTGATAAGCACTAACCTTCGACCCCTCAATTCCCTCATATATTATTTCAGCACATATACCTTTTTGTTTAAAATAAATTTCAGCTTTTTCATACACAGTACTTACAAAAGGAACTCCTCGTTGTTGACCATCAATACAAATTGTTTTGTACCAGGGGCTCAAATACTGAACAATCTCTTCGTTGCCATACTTTGATGCTATAGCTAGTGCATTGTCTCCTTCTTTGTTCACGGCTAGAACATCACATCCAGATTCCATTAAGAGCTCAACTGTTTCTTTAGCTCCACTTCTGGCGGCGTACATCAACGCACTCCATCCATTTTTGTTAACAATGTTGATATCAGCTCCAGATTTTATCAAAAGCTCGGCAGCTTTTTCTTGGCCAATTATTACTTCAGCTTTAGTATTGACATTGTTATTACATGTAATGTTATTGGTTTCGTATTTTGTAGCTTTCCATTCATCAATTCGAAAAACCGTAACATCGGGTTTATATGTATTTATATGTTTTACAAGATTTTGTTTTAGAGCAAAATTGTCACAGGAGTACATTAAAGCCGTATTCCCTTCAAATGTAGCCTCATTAACATTAGTTCCATTTCTAATTAACATATCCACTGTTTTATTTTGTCCTTTTTTACAAGCGCACATTAATGTATTCATTCTAAAAGTCTTTCAAACGTACAAATAAGAATGTTAACTTTTTAAAATTACTTCAGTTTTTCATGTACACTCTTAAAAGCGCAATATTATTGTATTATTTCGCTTTTTTGACAGTATTAATAGCAATTCATTTTTTTCAAATAAAATTCCATCTGTTTTATCCTTTCTAACGTAAGATTAAGGGACTAATGCTTCCTTCTATACTTGTATCAGTTAAACATCAGCCACGCTTTAGATTTCTTCATTTAGTTTTATTCTATTCACTTTCAGAAATAATCCAATTATCCAGGTTTTCTTCCATTAAACTTTGTTTATGATAATTAGAGTTTTCCATTATGGTTTGTTTTCAAATTGTTTTATTTGCAATTGTCTGAATATGAATATTTGATTTTTTCTCTATTAAAGTTTATCTTTTTTTTCTCTTATGAGAAATATTAACTAAGCTAATTTTTTAAAGGTTTAATAAAAAATATGTATTATTTCGATCTCTCGGTCTAATCAGAAAATAGTGTTTGTCTTAGTTCACTTCTCTATGTTTTCTTGGTCTATTCTTTTAGTCTGGTGTACTTGACATGTTTGCCTGGGTTAAAAAACAAACAAACTATTATAGTTAAATATGAAGTCTGTAAACTTAAAACAAGATACAGATGTGATAATGTAGCGTATGTTATTTATTTAAGTTTGTACTTGTCAAAATACCAGGCTCATGTCAGGTATTATGGGGTTAGCTTGATTTACTAAACGTAGATGTTTGTATAATTCTCAATTCACAAAAAAAGGCAAAATTCCATATTTTCTTTCATGCATTCAGGAAAGTTCCAATTGTTTCCTTCCCCGGAGAAAAAAATGTCTGAAAAAAATTAAAGAAACCTTTAAAATCCCACTCCCTATGGAAAAATGAATAAGTTGATCAGCACGTATGGAAAACATAACAAGATTAAAAAGTTAATTCTTTACTACATGGGCAATATTATAAAATCCACTACGATTTCAGGGTACGTAGCTTTCTGAAAGAGCTGCAACGTTTTTGTTAGAATTTGTGGGGTAAATAATTAAGTAAAGGTTTTTGCAGTTTTGCAAATTAATTATCATTACTGGACTGTGCAGATAGATGTAAGTAAACTGTATATTTACAAAGGTAATATTTGTATTCCTTAACATTTTAATAAGGATTTTGGATAATAAACAAGGTGTAGTTGATCATCGTTTTGCTGCTTGCTTACTATTGCATATTTGACCATGCAAGTAAATATCTCTAGTCGTATTGTCACTATTTCATTAAGAACAAATTATCAAAATAGGGAAAAAAAAACTCACTATAATTAGCTTTAAATTGCACTAAAAAAGAAACAAATTTTAATAAAATAAAAATAAATGCATATTAGAATGTAGAAAAATAGTTTTAATTATGCAACCGGAAAAGTGTTTTTAGTGGGGACAAGAACGCCGAAACCGATGACGTCACATGTCATATGTTTGAAGTGCAAAAAGTACACAAAACCAATGGCGTCATCTTCCAATTTTAGAATACGAAGAAATGAACTATTTCATTAAAATTGGATTTAGATCTATAGATTTACTTATCGAGACGTAATTTATGAAATATATACAATTTCCTCGGCCAAAACTAATACAAAATTACTTTAAAAAACAACATAAATACCATTGAAAAGCCGGATTTTTAACGGAGTCATTTAAGTCTTTTAATCAATGTTTGCATTTAATATAGTGTTGTGTTGACTAATTATGTATACAATTTGGTTTAATTTTTACAAGCTTTTATTTAACTCACTTCCTCTGTCGTCGCCAGTCTGTCATCAGTCTAGATAGAAACGTAGGAGTGAAAATTCAGACAGTTCTACTTGACCGATACGATTCACACTTGGCACGTGGGTCAAGACATGAAGACAATGCAATCTGAAACTAAATTTGGCTTAATTGGATGCTTAATTAATTTTTTATGAATTAATTAAAATTTTGACCGAATCAGTAGGCATGTCTAGCCAACCACACCACACGCGTCATCACCTTCAATAGCTGCGCCATCACGTTCAAAGGCTGCGTTCAAAAACCATTGCGCGCCTACTGAACGTAATGTTCAGTAGGCGCGCAATGGTTTTTAGTCATGTAACTCTTTTGTAAATAAAACATGTAAAGTACTGAAAAAAAAATTCATAAAAAACGTTTTAATAACAAGCTTTTATGTAATAATGCACTAAAAAGTAGAAAATAAATTATACACTACTATTTAAATAACTATAAAGAAAAGCGTGGGTCTCTTCCTAAACATTAGTAAAGGTATCCAATAGGTACTAAAGTGACCTACGCTTTTCTTTATCGTTATTTAAATAGTAGTCTATAATTTATTTTCTACTTTTTAGTGCATTATTACATAAAAGCTTGTTATTAAAACGTTTTTTATGAATTTTTTTTCTAATAGGTATTAGTAGCCTATTTTATTTTTAATGTGTCGGACTTTTAGCTATTTAGTTATTCCTTTGCTTTTTCATTAATATCGTTAAACCTGTAGTAAAGCAAATTGCGTTTTGACCAATTACTGTTTTATAAAATATTCTTCTAAAAATGTATACCATTAAAATATAAAGACCGATAATTCGCGTGTAACGGGTACCAACGGCTAGTATACTACTAAAACTCAAGTTTGTTTACATGTTTACATCGAAGATTTTGGTGCTCATTCAAAAGTTAAACGCGTTATATTTCTGTTGAGTATAGATTTAACGATACGATGTTTGCTTTTTTTTATTAGGTTCCAACACTCTTATCAATTTTCAATCGTTCTTTTAATTTGATAATACCATACATTTCTTTAGATGTAGATCAAGAATATTCAGATCAGCTGTCGAAGGAAGGAAAAGTTACAGATCTAGAATTTAGGTCAAACCAAAATTAATTAGTTTAACAAAAACTATTTTAAAAACACGTAAATTATTGAGTTTCTTTATTAAACTATTTTATTCCTTAAATATTTGATATAAATCTTTGCTGTTTAGCTTCAATGATCATCCAGTTCCAGAATACAAGGGATTTATTTATCTAGATTCTAAATCTAGAATTACGGAAAAGTTAGACTTAAGAATAAGATAGATCTCTAGCTCTATCTAGAACTAAAATCTATTTTTTATATACTAAACTATTTCAGACCTTAATTATATTATATAAATCTTTGTTTGATTAGCTATGTAATTGTATAATTTGGGATACAATTTATTTTGAAATAATACTAGGGCCTATTCGCGTAAATGAAGTTTCTTACGTAGAATAAAAGTAAAATATATCAGTAAATACGTCCCTGATCTTACGAGCCTAGATAAAAATATTTCCTTACTTGTATGAGACAAGATAGCTAAGATGTTAGTGAATTAAGTTATCATGCGGGTGGCACGGGTTCGAGACACATCGTGTCGATGTAAAAAAAAAAAAATTCAATTTAACGGGATAAAAGGGCAGGTGAAGTAGAGGCCACCTGTTTATGCGTCCTCAACTTATGACGAGATAGTGTAGCCAGAGCCATGCTCGGTTGGCATTTTTTTAAACGATAAAAACATGTTGTCTGAGACTTTGCGGTACACTGGGCAGGTGATGTAGAGTTGGATAGGTGTAGAGTTTACCTGTGACGTCAGCATATAAAGGGATAGTGTGGTCAGACCCATGCTCAGACGAAATTGGTGTTTTAAAAGACAAAAACATTTCTGAGTTGGGGAGACACTGGGTAGGGGAAGTAGAGATGACCTGTTTTTGTGACCTCAGCATATGAATGGATTGTGTGGTCAGACCCATGCTCAGCCGAAATCGGTGTTTTTAAAAGATAAAAACTTCTCAGGTGTGACGTCTTTTTGAATGTGGGGTCCGGTTATTTTGTGATGATAAGCAGAAGCGTAGCGAAGGAGGGGGGAGGGGGAGGGGGGCTAGGGGTACATATGTCCCCAGGCGCCAACCCTAGGGGGCACCAAAATGGGTTGGAAAAAAATTAAATACTCAATTTTGCTGCAGTTTTGCATTATAAATATTTGAAAAAAAATAATGGGGGAGGGGCAAATCGAAAAGGGGAGGGGCGCCAAATTGAAAGTTTGTCCCCGGGCGCCGGGAAGGGTCGCTAGGCCTCTAATGATATGTGACAGATTTGATGTCATTTATGGATGACCCCGATACCCACAGTTATCTAATGATAATGGGTAGTCTTGTTATATTTTATTTCATTTTGTTGGAGATTCAATGATTATTGTTAGTATACGTGGTATTAAATACTGTTAATTAAGAAAACAGCATTACAATTATAAGAAACCGTATTCAATAAACAGCTAACACTCAACATAGGAACATACCTGATTTGGAACAGATAGAACTAGAAATTAAATAAAAGTTAGTTTAAATTTAGTTTGAGGGTCGTTTTACTTACATATTTTCGAGATATAACACGTATTCCTATTTATCCTTGAACAAATAACAACCCAAGCTGAATCGATTCAGCAAGCTTGTAGGCTCCATACCCAGCCAATTTTTTTAGAAAAACTACTCAAGCATGCAAAAAGCTTCTAATCTTCAACCTGAACGAGGTTTGCACCTGGTGGGGTGGTGCGATTGTGCCAGCCTTAGAGGCCTATTGCCGCAGCTTAATTACGATCGATAGTCAACTATTCTATTCATTATTTTCAATCGATTGTCAAATTGATTGTTCTATATATGTTGTTAATAGTTAAGAATGTCTCTTAATTCATGACATTATACTGTTCCGATTCTACTAAAGTTGTTTTTTAGTTGAAATACAGGTAAAGCTTCAAATTATGATTTACTGAGCTTACAGTGATTATAAAATAACGAAAATCGATCGTTGGTGCCTATTCTGGACCACTGGCATAACATTTTAAATATTTTATACAATTTTTATTAATACTTGCCTTAACCAATGCAGCGTTTATAGAATACTTTTTCTCACCTTTCAACAAACATTTGATTTGTGGTTGTA